CAGTGCATGCCTGACAGTCACTGCCCAACGAAGACACTGTCAGCGCATGGTGATATCTGGTCTGATCAGCCAGACGTACCTGCTTTAGGATTGAATGGCAACCAGGCCAAGCCAAAAACCTGGCAAGCCGAACTGTGTGCTCATGTGTGCTTTGATGACTTTAAGGTTCATGTCGCATTGTCAGGATCGTCACAATAAGGCTATCAGGTGATCGCCGACTTTAGCAACATATTATGGCAAAACTGGAAGTGATTGGTTCTGTCCTGATGGACTCCCAAACTCCGTGTGTGTGTGTGTGTGCACGTGTTTGCATGTCTGTGTGTGTGTGTACATGTGCATGTGCATGTTGGCAATTTTGGCATGTTGAGGCGAGGCTCCTTGCATGATTGCTGGCACGAGTTAAGCATATATACATAATATGCAGCTATATATATATATATATATATTTATATACATACAGAAATTTGTCCTGCAGCCCTTTTCATGTGTCCAACCTTGCCCTCAGGCCCGGCTTGCTGTTTTCTTCTTAGCTATGCATGCATCGGCCTTTAAAAATTTTTGTCGCATGAAACTCCTTGCAGGTGATGGGGCCCATCGAGATGATCTTTGAGGTCTATCTGCGTGGCATGCACGAGGACTGCCGGTGCTTAATGTTTGCATCTGCATGTTTTCGAAGAGCGAGGCATGCAGGAGTGGCAGTGCTTGAATGTTCGTGTCTCCTTTGAATAGGAAGGCATGAGCACAGCATGCGAGCCTCCTGAGATCGCGGCTCGCGCGGCAAAAGTAGTTCGATTTAATATCTTCTTGTGCGAATAATCATGGGTGCTGCCCAGTCGACAACGGGTAACAACAACCCGGCGAGCTCTGGCAACACCAATAACGCCCCAGCCCCCATCGTGATCCCGCACTCACCGGAGCTGTTGCCCCAGGGGTTCACGTGCATGTGCCCCCCAGTGGGTCGGATGCAGCAGGCGGAGCTAGCACGACTCCAGGAGCTGCCCCCCATGGTGCTCCTCCGGTACCTCCCCCGCCTCCAGCCGAAACTGAGCAGTATCTCAGGTGGTGCAACCGCTGCAAGCAGCAGAGCTACTTCAGGGAGGGCATCTGCCTGAACGAATGGTGCTCCGTGCCTTGGCTGCATTATTGTTTTTCTAAACCTTCGACTACTAACTAATCCCTGCAGCTCTTATAAATCAACCTTTAAACCACCAATCACAAACCCCTAAACCCCTAAACCATGAGATCTAATTTGAAAATAGGAGGCAGGCCTTTCGGGGGCTGCCTCCTTAAGTTCGTTGCTTTTGTTCCATATACAAGATGCTAGCTAAGTTGGCTTGGTCGCGGGCAGACGTGGACTTGAACGTGGCGAAGAACTGGGGTGGAAAGAAAGTGGAGGCTTCGGTGCTCAACTACGGAGTGCACAAAGCAAAGAAAAACCGCGGGCAAAAGCGGAAAATCTGGTGGCAAAAGCACCTGGAAAGAAAGGCCGGCAAGTTCGGGTTCGGCGGCGACTATCAGGCCGAGGATGAGGAGAAGGATGAAGATGAGGAGGAAGGCAAGGCCCCTCCTGGTGTGGATGCAGAGCACGAGCCCCTGGGCAAGAAGGACGGCCACGACGATGACCGCCACGATGATCCGGGCCGCACAGGGGATTCAGCAGGATCGCCGCCGATCCTGGTTGCCTAAGGACCGATCCTGGTCGCCTGAAGATGCATCTTCGCTTTGGAAAAGAGTTGAGGTGTGCTTTGAAGCCTCGGTTGTTTGTGCTTGCATGCCTGCATGCATATATATATATATATATATAGCAGTTCATGCATTCTTAAGAAGTCACTTCCTCGCAGGACCCAAACAGTGCCGACGAAGCCGAGGCACCCGGGGTTATCATGCATGGGCTCGGTGCTAGTGTATGCTCCTCGTGCAGGTGTATCTACATGCCGAACTGCGGGACGATGTGGGGTCGGCCCCGCACTGAAGTCTGTGGTCTGTGTCGCTGAGGCTGGCTCTGGGGACTATACCATCCAGGCTGGCCTTGGTCGTGGTGCCGCTGCCTTGGCTGTGTTTGTGTCTGTTCAGGAGACACTCCTCTTCAGCAGGAGTGCCTCCTTGGGGTTTCAGGAGGCGGGCCCTCCTGGTGTGCATGGTGTGAATAGATTTAAATCTAAACCACCCAAAGACCTAAAACCCTAGACACCCAAAGCCCTGAAACTCTAGAACCTTAAACCCCTAAAACCCTAAAACCTTAAAACCCTAAAACCCCGAAACCCTCAACCCCAAAACCCCTAAAGCCCCAAACCCCTAAAACCCAAAACCACTCAAACCCTAAGCCCCAAACCACCGTGCCGCAAAGCACGACACCTCGGAGCCGCTGCAGGTGTGCATTCTCCAGGGACTACAACATGGAGGCTGTTGTTGCCAAGTAAGGTGTGGTGCACTGTTGCCGGACTCGTGTGTTGCATGCCTGTGACACCGAGGCCCGACTTCACGGACTATGTCGTCGAGGTGGCTGTTGCTGTGGTGTCGCTTGCTGGGCTGTGCTTTTTTTCTGGAGGAGGCAACCCCTGGCTAAGGAGTGCCTCCTGGTATGATTTGTTCCAGGAGACCCTCCTGATCAAGGAGGGCCTCCACAGACCAAGAAGTTAAACACGAGTTAAAATTCAACTCGGATTTAACTTGGACGTAACTCCATATATAATTACCAGGCAACTAACCGGGAGTTAAATGCAAGTTAAATTGGAGTTAAATTTTAACTCCTCTTTAACTTCTCCGTGCCCCCTGAGGTGACAACGTGTCTCTGACTTGGCTATGATCCAGGAACATTAATGGCCGCAGCTTGGGGTGCTGCTGTTGCCTGCAGGCATGCATATGTTCTGCTCCTTTGCCTCAGCTTTGTTCATCAAGCCAGCTGTCCCCAGCCGTCGTGACACCAGGCCGTCACTCATGGGAAAGCCAGCTGCCAAGAAGGCCATGGCCAAGGCGAAGACCGGTCCCAAGGCAGCACCCAAAGCCACTGCCAAGGAGCTCAAGAAGCAGGAGGTGGAGAAGGCTGCTAAGAAAAAAGATCAAAGCAACTTGGTCACTACCCTGAAGAATGCCAAGACCAAGCTCCATGGAGTGCAGAACGGCACGATTCAGGTCAGCGACGGCGAGCTGGAAACCCTCAAGAGCAAGGCCGAATTTTTCGATCGCTATGTGAGCCTGGATCGCAATGATCGAGAAAAGGCGCAAATGTTGGCTGCCTTCTTGGCAGACAAGACATGCAACAACTACATGCAGAAGATTCGGGAGATCTCCACCGAAACGAAAACGGAGGATGAAAAGGCTTCGGGATTTGTGACACAATGGGAGATTGCCACCAAAGAGAACCTTCCGGTCGACAGCCCGCTCTTGAAGAAGTTGTTGGAGGGCCTCAAGTTCGACTACGATTGGAACGAAGCGGTGCCCAGAGAAAAGGTTTTCAAGGAGGCCGGTGAAAAGCGATTCTTCTATGAGAAGAATGCTATGACAACCGAGAGGACCTCCTTCAGCTCCAAGTCCGGTATCTCCGCAGCAGGAGATCTCGGCAAGAAGAAGGCGGAATCCTTCTTGAACGACAAGGACACAAGCACCGCCGACCCCGCAGCCAAGGTGAAGATCGAGTTCCCCTTGCATGTGGAGTTGGTCTCGAGCCTGAAAGTGCTGAAGAGCGGCAAGCAGAAGATCCAGAAGGAGCTCAACACAGGCAAGGACTTGTGCCAGAAGCTTGCCAACGGCGGCCAATGCGATTGACACCTTCGACAACTACCTCGCTACCCTGAGGCAGCGGGTCGTAAGTGCGGAGGGGGTCCAACCTCCTGATGTTACCAAGGAAGTGGTGGCTGAGCTAAAGGCAGAAATCGATATCGCCGACACACATCTGGATGCCTTTAAGAGGGCCATGACTAAGGCGAAGAACCTTCGCTAGCCATGTACCATCTGTCAGAGGGGACCTCCTGTGTACATGTTTCGGGAAGATTTTATAGAAAGGTTATAATTAGAGTTGGAAGGTTTAGGGTTTTGGGTGTAGGTTACTTAAATCATATATATATATATATATAAATAATACATGTATACATATTATACATACATAAGCATAATATATTATACATGTATGCATATTATACATACATAAGCATAATATATGTATATATATATAAAGATATAAATATGCATACATATATATATATATATATATATATATATAAATATATGTATATATATATACACACACATATATATATATATATACATATTTATATTCTGTATTATACCGTATAAATGCATATCGCAGAAATTATAAGATATCATTAAGTATCATGCATATAATAGATTTATGTATAATATGTTGTGTATATGTATACATAAAACTGGTATACCGACATATCTTAACTTGTATGCACTTTAGTGTATATATGCATTATAATTTTACATTATGTATATATATATATATGTATATAGTTAACATTGTAGCTTTACTATTAAATTAAAGCTACATACAAGCTAGATCAGGGCTAGATTAGCTATAGGTTACATATAATACATACACACGGATACGTATTATTAAGGTATCTATATATACCCTAAACCTTATAGGTCAGCCTTTCTTGTTTGGATTTGCAACCCCGAACATGCTTTGAGGAGGTCTCCGCCTAGAGTTCCACAGCTCCAGGTTTTTGAATGATGCCCGGATCGCCCTGCAGCCCTGCAAAATGCAATCAGCTGGCACATGAGTCATGTGTTTGCATGTTCGAACATGCCTGCTATATATGACTCCGACCCTTTGCATGTATGTGGATGTGCTTGTGTCCATGCATGCATGCATGCATGCAGCATCGTTGGCTCCTGGCAAATGCTTGAGCAATTTACAGTTGTAGCTGTCGGTTGTTGTTCTCGTGCCATGTATGCATGTTGCAAGGCAAGAAGAGACCAGAGAAAAAGGCTCTGGCTCGAGCCGATTGTTCCAGTGTGTAAGTAAAACGTCTGCCATGCGGTCATGCCGGCCTCTCCTTGTGGCTCTAGTCCTTTCGAGCCCTGCTTGCCTGGAACCGCCACGCACTGCCTGGTGCTCAGACCAGCTTAGTACTGCCTGCGCTGACAGCACGCCAGTTGCCTTGCAAGCAGTCTTTAGTGCTCGGCGTGCTTCTTTGTCTCAAGAGCATCGGTTGCCGCCTGGCAGCCTGGACATTGCAGCTGCCTCGCTTCCAGGCCTCCTCACCTTGCCCCCCGCGGCCATCTGGCATGTCGCCCAAGAAGAACGCCCAGGCAACGGCCAAAGGCGGCGGCATCCTTCGCTCGCTTTGCTAAGGCGGCATCAGGAGAAGCGGTTGCCAAGTCCACGGGAAGCAGGGCCCGCACTCGCGCCCCGGCTCCGACTCCCAAGCGTCGGCGAGCACGCCGTGCTGAGGCAGAGGCAGAGGCATCGGAATCGATTATAGTGAGTCTTCCACGTCTTCGGAGGACTCTTGGGGGCCACCGCCACCTCGAGGTCCACCTCCCCCGACAGCGGCCAACGACCCGAGGGTGGCTACTCCTGCTGCGCCTGCACCGCTTGATCATTCTGGTGCCTCCCAAGGTTGCAGCTCCGCTGGCTACTACGACTACCAGCTCACCGAGACCGCCGTCCCCAGCTCACCGCCGCCTTTGCCATCAGGAGCTCCCCAGGTGTCTACCGGCTATCCTCAAGACCTTATCCTCCTACAGGGTGCTTGGCAGCTCCGACTCACTCAGGTCACCCCGCTGTCGATTTGTACTCCACCATTGCCGATTCCGCCACGGCCTGCGGCGACGGCTATGGCGGCAGCCACTGCTAAGGCATCATCCCTGTCTGCGCCAGGCACTTCCGGTCCCCGGGCTCCGCTTCGGCCGGCTCTCACAGGTGTTTCTGCTGCTTCTGTCCATCGAGAGGCTCGGCCATGTCTTGCAGTTGCTGATCGATGCACGCATGAAGGTCAACATTGATAAGTCAGTGATTCTCCTTGCTGTCAATCACTCCTACGCCAGTCGCTGGCGACGCCGGGAAATTGCATCAGACAAACAAGGCCTCCGATTGCGCATCTCGACCCCGTCTGCGGGTATCTTTAAACTGCCGATCGTTGACACTCATAAATACTTGGGTGCAATCATCTCTTACCAGGAGGACTGCACGCAACTTACGGTGGCCTATCGACTGCGGCAAACCTGGGCGACCTGGACCAGACTTCGGCCAGGGCTTACCTCAGCCTCTGCACCAGCCCTCCCGCTGAGACTGCGTCTTTGGCAGGCATGTATTCCACCTACGGCCCTTTACGCGCTTGATAGTCTCCCGCCAAAGCGACAGCATCTGGTCCAAATACAAAAAGCCCTGATGCGTCAGCTCCGCGCCGTCGCTAGATCTCAAGCGCACATGACGGGGGAATCTACTATCGATCTGCACGCTCGTCTTCGTGTCCCCTTCGCGCTTGATGTACTGCGACAGGCCTCCAGTCGGAGAGCTGCACGGTGGGAGGTGCTCCCTCCCGAAGAACACGATCTTTTAAGTCGTGAGTGGCAGACTCGAATTGATGATGCTCTGATGCAGCTTGGTCCCCACCCCCACCTGGCCCCAGATGCTCCCACAGCTGATTCGGCAGTCTCGGGCGTGAACGTGGGGGATACAGACATGCATGCTGATGGGTGGCCCTGCCCATATTGCACGCATCAGGCGCCCTCGCATCGCCTACTCCGTGTGCATCTCTCTAGAGCCCACGCCACCAAGGCGAAGGATAGACACTGCCCGGGCAGGTTTAATCGAGCCCTTCACTGGGTGAACGGAATGCCGATATGCCGCCTTTGTGGGCATCGCTTTAATCGTTGGAGCGGGCTGCGTAACCACATAGATAAGGGTCAATGTCGGTGTCTGTCTTTTCATGCCCCGTCTATGCCTGAGCCCACACCGGATCCAAATCATGAGGCCGATCCCTCGTCTTCTAGCGTCCTCTCTGGGGACGCTACACCTGCAGCCTGCGCCGAGGCAGCAGCCACTGTCTCGCCTTCCCGATGTCTGTCAGACCCTCATCCACTGGCCTACACTGGTGTCTTTCAGGCTCAGCTGCGACATCAAGGCTGGCAAGCGTTACTCTCGAGGCCTGATCTCAGGAGCTCCTTGAAGCATCACTGCCCGCTGTGCTCTCAGTGGGCTGCCTCACCCTCGGGCCTGAAAGTTCACCTGCAGCAGTCGCACCCTGAATGGAAAGCCCTACGCGCGGCCGCACAGGCAAAGGCCCAAGTTCTCCGGCGCAGCCTGTGTAAACCATGTCTTTATTGTCAGGAATCGCGCATTGATCTTCAGCATCATTGGAAACAGTGTTACATGATCTTTTTGCTTAGCTTTCTGGAGTGTTGGTTGTACGACTCCTCCCCTGCTGGTGTGACCGCGCTCTCTAGCCACCAGACCGACCCTCTCCGACATGAATCTGGAGGACCAACGCGAATTGGGCCTATTCCAGAACTTCATGACGCCGGCAGCCGGCATGGATGCAGCCCAGCCCAAACGCCGCAGAGGCGAGGAACCGGAGGGGGCGTCCCAGTCGGCCCTGTTCCTGAGCCATTCTTCCGGCTCTCAGGCCCCGGTGGCCACGGCGAATGCGGGGTCGGAGCCCAAGGGCAAGGGGAAAGGCAAACAGCCCAATGGCAAAGGCAAGGGCAAAGGGGGCAAGACTCGTCCTCACGCAACACTCGTGGCACGACCAATGGAGCCCGGATCAGTCCTGGTCCAGCGGCCACTCATGGACTTCCTCCTCAGACCTGACCGGTCAACTGGCCCGTCTACTCCTTCGACGCGAGCAGCAATTGCAGAGCATTCAGCAGGACTGTGGTTGGGTCTCGAAGGGACGAACCCTTTATTTTCCGTTCGAAAATGGTTTGGAAACTTTTGTTTTAAAACCAAGCATGCTTGTTTTCAGTCACGTCAATGTGTTGCCTTTGCAGACACTTGTTGTGCTGAAACATTTCCCTATTCAAGGGAGGGAGGGCGGGAAACCCTCGTGTACATTCACCAATGTGTGTTTTGTGCATGGGGGTGTAGTGTAGTGTAGAGGAGGTGCTCCGAGCACTCGGTAGGGGAGGGGCCATGGCAGAAAGTCCAGAGCCTCAAGGTGCCAGGAGAAAGCCTTCCTCTGATCTTGAGGTCGATTGGGGCGACGGCCAGTCAAGTGTGTCCGATCTGCCTGAATCAGGGGTGCCTCAGGAAATCGCCCGAGCAGGGCCTTCATCGAGCGATCAGCATGCATTTTCCTTAGACGATTGGTTAGCTGATGTTTCTCTTGATGGCCACGTCTCTGCAAGCAGCGTTGCAGAGCCAGCAAGTGTTGCCAAGGATAGTTGTGTGCCGAGTGTTGCTTCGACAGCCGTCTTGTCTTCTAGGGAGTATGCCGCTCGTCTACGGAGCTCCCACCTGAGCCTGCAAGATGCCACGCCGAAGTTCTTTTGGGAGCAGGGGTTTTGGTCTGATTTCTTCAGTCCTGCCGCAGTGCCAGAAACCATCATGCCGAAATTCAAGGACAGGCGGCCAGATCCTTATCACTTGCCTTTGTCGGAGCCTGTAGAGCTTGGACAGTCGCAATCTTCGAAGAAGGCACGTCGAGAGTTCGCAGCAGTCTTCCAGAAAGTCGTGATTCAGAGACAGGTGATTTCTTGGAGGGACGCTCGTGAGGCCTCCTTTGAGACGGCCATTGTGAAATGGGTTGCTCTGTTTGGGTCTTGGGATTCTAATAAGGATGAGTCTCTGGATGGCTTTGCACAACTGTCGGAGCTTGAAAGGAGGAAAGTCATTGATGACAGCATCGCACGCAAAGCCCCTTCGACTGCCTTGAAAAGAGCAAACTCGTTGATCAAACTCACGAAGCTTGCCGGAGCCGCAAACATTGTCATGCCCGCTTCCGAAGGCGAGATCTATATCATTTTGACCGATGCCAAGTCGGGAGGGGCCCCATTATCCCAGCTGCGGGGGTTCATGGAAGCCATTACCTTCTCTCGACATGTCTTCGAAATCAGTAGCCTCCATCTAGTTAGTGTCAGCAAAAGATGTTGGGGAGTCACAGTTGCCAGGGTCGCGACTCCTGCGAGACAGGCTGACCCCCTGCGGGTCAAGGACCTCAAGGAGCTTCATAGGGTGTTGGATGAGGCGCCAGACCCCTGGGACCGTTGCTTCGCAGGCAGCGCGCTATTTTGCGCGTACGGCCGTTGCCGATGGTCTGACTCGCAGCACTTGGATGATATCGAACTAGAATATGAAGAGGGTCCTGATTCTCCCCTTGCATACGTTGGAGGTGTCATCGACATTCACAAAACAATGAACCTGCAGGGTCAGCAGCCCCGTGTTCTTGAAATCATTGCACCAGCGCAAGGAATCTATGAAGGTGACTGGGCTTTGAAGTGGCTCGCTGCACGTGCGGAGGTAGGCTGTGCCTGGTCGCAGGGCCACCCGACCATGCCTGCACCCAATCATCTGGGTGAGCCTACTGTCAGGGCTCTGGGCAGTGACGAGTGTGGTGCTTGGCTCAGGGCTCTCTTGCCAACGAGGCTGGACATGAGAACAACTTCGCACTCTCTGAAGGCAACGTTCTTGAGTTATTGTGCAAAGAGAGGCATGAGCCATCTTGACAGACTTGCGCTGGGAGGGCACTCCCATGGAGCGAAGAGTGCCGATACCTATGCGAGGGATGCCCTTGCTCGCCCATTAAGGTTGCTCCAAGGTGTCATCAGAGAGATCAGTATGGGCGTCTTCATCCCGGATGCTAACCGGGCTGGCAGGCTGATTGTCAGTGCTGAGACTTCAGAGCTTGCTCAGGAGTTGGGCCATGAAGTCCCGAGTCTCGCCACTGCCTTTGAAGACCGCAGGGCCTCTCCCGGCCCGGCCCAAAGAAGAGGTCGTGTCCTTGAGTTCGTGTGAGCCCTCTCCTTCACAGCATGCCGAGCCCGCTTCAGAGTCCCATGAGTGCGAGGGAGATTCGTCGGAGGCCGATGATGGAGATTCGAGCCGCAAATCAAGCTCAAAATCGTTTGTCGAGGGCACCACAAGCTCAGATTCAGATGCAAGCTCAAGCTCTGAAGAGGAGGGACCTGGACCCAGCATGCCTCAGTTCGTCCCCCGCCTGCCAGAGCCTCCTGAGGGCTTTCGGTTTGTGCAACACGCAAAGTTGAAGACCTTGCATTATGTCATGCAGGGTCACTTGAACTTCACCGTTTGCGGGCGTCGCATTACAGATTCTCTTACAGGATCCTTATCACTCAAGTGGGACAGCCCGGTCTGTCGCAATTGCAAGAAGTCTGTAGGACCACTCAGGTAGGGTACGCCATGAACTTTGAGTGCGATGAAAAGAGTGAAGTCACACTTCGAGTGCATGCCAGTCTTATTGAGTCATGCGAGTGTGTCATGTCTTTGTGCGACCTCCTAGTTGAGTGGGCTGCGAACATGATTCGTGTGTTTTCTCGAACGCTCAGGTTCCAATTTCATGCGAATTCTGTCATCATGCTCAAGCCCACCTTTATGCCAGAGGGTTGAGGGAAGGGCCACACGTGTGATGTCATGTCGCTGATAGACTCGAAAGCTGAGTTCGAGAGCAGATGCAAAGATGTATGTGGAAGCAGTGCGCTCCTTGAGAATCTACGTGCGAAAGGGATCGAGAGCTTTTCGAGTTTGGCATTTGCCTGCGGCACTCCCCAAACGCCTCCAACCGAGACTGAGTTCGCTTCCTTTGCTGAGAACGTGTGTGGGCCATCAGTGCCACTGGGAACTGCTGCCCAGCTTAGGAGGCTTCACTTTGAGGCCATCACACTTGTTGTGGCGCAGTTGAAACAGCAAGCGATTGCAGATCCTGCCGAGGCGGTTAAGAAATTGCCATTGGCAGAAAAACAGGCCCGCATCGAAGATCAACGACGCAGGCTCCATGGGCTCTTGTTGGAGGATGAGTTGCAGCCATCACATGCACTCATCGATGCATGCGCGCACATGATTGAGCAGAACCACATAACATGGGTCCCGCCCTCAAAATGCACGAAGAGGGACCAAGAACTGCGAGTTGGGATCAAGGACAAATCCAAGTTCCTTGTTGCAGCTGAGGGTGGTGTCACTCTTGCATCGGCCCCCACCGTGTTGACGGCCGATCATCAGACTCCGCTGCAGCTCCAGTGGTGCTTGCAAAGGCGAGGACTCGCGCTCGACCTCAACAACATCATCGGCTGGACCTCTCACGAAAGGTGGGTCTCATTCCTTATGCAGACCCTTGCTCAGGAGGTTCCGGCAGGTTACCAGAGTGTCACCGTTGATCAACTCTTGAAGGCCGATTGTGAGCTTTTCCTTCTGATATCAAAGGAGACGAAGCGAGTCAAGGTCGGTTCTGATGGCAAGATGGAAGCTGAGGCAAAGCTAAATCAGCTGAAGACCGACCCGAGGGTGACCATGCATCTGCTGCCACTCCGTGGCGGTGGGAGGCCAGGGGGATCCCAGGCCCATGTTGAAATGCCAGATCTTGATGATGCAAATGCTCGTCTCAAGAAGAGGAGGACCCTTGAGAAGAAGCGCGGGCTCCTGGCCCCGGTTAAGACTGCTACGATGCCTCAGGAGCTGAAGGCTTGTCAGCATCACACTGATTCTTCAGGACGGCGTGCATGCTGGGGATTCAACCTCGGCCAGTGTTCACTTGCTACGCAGGGTTCGCCTCCGGCCTGCCAGAAAGGGGTCCACATCTGCATGACATGTCGCAAACCGGGGCATGGGCATTTTCAGTGTTGGCATGCTGGCAAAGGCAAAGGTACAGGCAAAGGCAAGAAAGGGGCGAAGGCAGCCGCAGAAGCGGCAAAAGAGTCGTGACTAGGCAATTTGCCTGATCGTGCACGCAGCAGGACGCCTTCAAAGGCGTTGGATGCCGAAACTTCCGGCTCCCTATCTTGCAGAATTCAAAACTCAAGTCAAGAGATCACGCCAAGCGACCCGTCCTCAAGGGACGCTCGCATTCCGAAAGATGATTGCCAGTCCGCTGACCACCCTCCGGTTGATCGCGACAGGCATACAACACCGCTTGATGCAAGCAATCCCGTTGATGCTGCCTCGTCGTGCAGCTCCGGGTTGCATAATGCTGCTGCTCATTCTGAGCCAGCATGTTCCAATGCCGAAAACAAAATCTTTCACTTTCCACCAGACTCTCTTTCAGACGAGAGCGGATCCAATGAGTCAGAGATGCTTGCTTGCCAGATTCTTGCGGCTGGGCGATGCACTTCTTTGCAACTGCTCCAGCTCATGACCTCGCTACCCTGTGAAGACATGGCCCGAAGCTCCGGCAGAGTCGGGACTGAGAAGTCTTTCACTAGTGGTGCGTATGGTCAGGGCCCCTTGGTTGGACTGCGAAAACATGTAAGCAGCCATGCGCATGTCACCAGACTTCTGGTGAAATTGGCAGTGCAGTTCTTTCCAGCATTGACTTTTACAACTGTGGCCTTGTTTCGTGATGTCCACACAACCCGACATTCAGATAAAGGCAATTTGCCGGGTTCTCTGAATGGCGTGGCGGCGCTCAGTAACTTCTCAGCTGGGCATATCAAGTTGCACACTTCCGATGGTGAAAGACGCCTCGATGTCGCGACTTGCCCAGTGATGTTTGATCCGGCAGTGGAGCACGAAACTTGCTCTTGGGAGGGCACCCGCCTTGTGCTGGTTGCTTTCTCAGCGAATCGGCTTGATCTCATGTCAGCTGAGGACACTGCCTCGCTGCTTAATTTGGGGTTTCCTCTTCCCTCTGTAGGTCCCCCTTCGGTTTCCCATAGGTCGCAGCCCAAAGTTACATCAGCTATGGCTGGTGACCGAGGCCTTGTGTTGCATTTCTTCGCTGGCCCTGCGCGTCTTGCTCAGTGCTTGCAAAAGAATGGCTTCGACGTCTTGGCCTTCGATCGCGGCACTGCCCGTGCCCGCTTTCCAGTCCAGTCTATCGACTTGTGTGACCTGCAGGACCGAAGTCTTTGCTGCAGCATTTTGACCGAACAGGCCGACCGCATTGAGCTCGTTTTCTTGTCGCCGTGCAGTGATTCAGATCCGATCGCAGTGGCAGTGGCCGCTGTTGTTCAGCATGCAGTCGAACTTGGACTCAGAGTGTGCATTGAAAGCCCAATGAAATCAGCTTTGTGGACCCACTCTGCCATGGCTGCTCTCTTCGCTTCAGGTCTGTTCAAGGACGTTTGCTTTGATGTGTGTATGCATGGAGGGCATCAGAATCGCCGGGTCCGCCTCAGCTGCAACTCCGACATCTTTGAGCCTCTTGCATTGCTTTGTAACCGTTCGCATAAACATGCTTCGGACGCTATGCTGCATCCTGCAGATAAAGGTGCATACCCTTGGCTCCTTTGCCATCGCATTTCCGATCTGCTGCTTCAGCAGACAACCTCGCGGGCGCCGCCGAACTCTTTGCTCGGCCCCGCTGCTACAGAATTGCGTGTTGCATTGGATCGCCAAGGCAAGTATCGACGACCACTTGTTTCAGAATTTCAGAGTTATGATGCTTGGGCTTTCTCTCCTGAGCTCGAGACCGAACGTTCTCAGGTCCTTGCTTTGTACCCCAAAGGTGCTCGCATTGTTCGACGCAAACTTTGCAAATGGGGTGCAGTCCGGGTTTGCCATCGTCCACTGCTTTCAGATTCTGCGCCCCTTGATAGGATCTCCGGGGATTGGGTCATTGGGCCTGGTTCTGTTGAGGAGCACCTGCCAAGTGGTGTGGTTAGTGTCTGTGGCATGCGAAGGCCCCAGCTTATGGAGGAAAATCAGACGGTCGAGGTGGCTTGGATTGGCATCCCGCGGGAGCCTCTTGACTTTCTTCGAGAGGCGGTCAAAGTGGGGCACCCCAAGTCTTTCCTGGACCAGGACGAGCCCAGCATTGAGCGTCTCGTAGAGAATTTGCTAGGTAATGATTCGGTCGAGTCTAGTGCTCATCTCCTTGACGAGTGGCAAGAATTGCAGGTTGAGCTTGAGCCACATGAACAAGGATTGAGGCTGGCATGGCCCACTCATGTGCAAAACATCCTCCGAGACAAGAAAACTGAACTTTTGAAACGCCTTCTGTGCAAGCACGGATATCCAGATCACAAGGTTGTTGATCACATGCGTGAGGGTTTTCGGTTGTCAGGCTGGATGTTCCGGACAGGTGTTTATCCGGCCGAGGCCCGACCTCCTTCGGTCAGCATGGAGAGGCAGCTTGCTACTGCTAGGTCTCGAAATCTTTCGACTTTGGCTAAACTGCGAGCGCAGCCTTGCGATGAGGTTACAACTCGAGCTTGGGAGGAGACCAAAGCTGAACTGGAACGGGGATGGATTTTCGAGGCCCCATGTTGCGAGGACAACTGCATTTCCGAGGGCTCCCAATCGGGACGTCCAACCAAAGACTTCACGGGGTGTTTTGGCATAGGAGGTGTGTTGATTGCACGACGGTTTGGGATTTTGCAGTCGCTCAAGGTCCGGGTGATTGACGATTGCAAAGCCTCGGGATACAACCAGACCACTGGTCTCCCGGAACGCTTCCGTCTCCATGGCCTTGAGTTCTTGAGTGCCTTTCTTGTCAAAGCCATGAGAGACGTCAGGTCCAGATGCACCCCGATCCTTGGCAGGACATACGACCTCTCTTCTGCATACAAACAGTACGCCGTGCACACAGAAGATCGGAATGTTCTGCGCATCGGAGCCAAAGATACCGAGTCAGGATCGGTCCGCCTTTTCGGTGTGAACTCACTGCCGTTCGGGGCCACAGGCTCCGTCGCGGGATTCTTGAGGACGGCGGCTGCGACTTGGTTCTTGGGAGCTCAGGTTTTGAAGCTCGCTTGGGGATGCTACTTTGACGATTACCCTTGTTTGTGCAAAGCCAAACTGGCCGATGACGTGAGCAGCATTGTTCATCGATTCTTCGGGCTCCTTGGCATTGTCTATGCAACAACGGGCAAGAAAGCAGTTGAGTTCGCTGCTCAGTTCAAAGTATTGGGAATCCTAGTTGACCTCTCATCCTTCACAGATGGCACAGTTCTGCTCAAACACACTGAAGAAAGGATTGCTGCCCTGTCTGCCACACTCCAAGATGTGCTTGACAGGGACGCGATCAGCCAGACTGAGGCAGACCGCTTGCGAGGAAGGATGCACTGGTTCTCATCTTTCTTGTTTGGCCGCCGATCGTGCTTGGCTCTGCAAGTCTTGAGCCGTCGTGCCCGAGGCTTCGGTTGCTCTAAGAAGCTCGATCCCGAGCTTCGGCAAGCCTTGATTTACCTGAAGGATGTTGCGTTGCACGCGGAGCCCATTTCCCTTGACAGGCACATGGGACGCACGTACATCATCTTCACTGATGGTAGTCTTGAGGGCCCGACTGCTGGTTTGGGTGGTGCGTTGTTCGATGGGAGTGGTTCAGCACTCTCTTTCTTCGGCCTTGATCTCCCGGATCGAGTCTTGAACAAGCTTCGCGAGACCTCCAAACATCCGATATACGAAATCGAGATGCTTGCAGTGTGGGCCGCTCTGTCCATCTGGTCAGAGCAGTTGGCCAATTCCTATTCAGTGTTGTACATCGATAACGAAGCTGCTCGAGGAGCTTTCACTTCTTGCAAATCCGGTACTTTGCCGGGAAGCATGATCCTTGAGGCCTGTGTCACGCTCGAGGAAGCGACGCGATGCAGGTTATGGTTCGGGAGAGTGCCAACTTCGAGCAACATAGCAGACAATCCCAGTCGCGGTGATTGCAGTCAACTTTTGGCCATGGGAGCGTCTCGGTCAGTGTTGCGACATCAATTCCCGCTTTGACACTGCTTGCAAAGGGGGCGGTGGTGCTGTGTCACGCATTGCTGTCTTTGAGTGGTGGCATGCCGTTCACTCGGCTCCGCCCTTCTGCAGCATGCTCCGAACTCCTACGAGACTGTTTACCCCTGTGCCCGTTTCGAGAAAATGAAGAGGCGCGAGTGATTGTTTGCATTGCAAGTTGAGTGATTGCATTCCAGACTTCGCAACATGTTCACTCCGCTAGCGCTCATGTTCTCTTTCTTTTACATGCGGTTTTCGATAAGGAAAATAAGGTTGGGTCTCGAAGGGACGAACCCTTTATTTTCCGTTCGAAAATGGTTTTGAAACTTTTGTTTTAAAACCAAGCATGCTTGTTTTCAGTCACGTCAATGTGTTGCCTTTGCAGACACTTGTTGTGCTGAAACATTTCCCTATTCAAGGGAGGGAGGGCGGGAAACCCTCGTGTACATTCACCAATGTGTGTTTTGTCCCACCCGCCCTGTCCCTGTGTCACGCATTGCTGTCTTTGAGTGGTGGCATGCCGTTCACTCGGCTCCGCCCTTCTGCAGCATGCTCCGAACTCCTACGAGACTGTTTACCCCTGTGCCCGTTTCGAGAAAATGAAGAGGCGCGAGTGATTGTTTGCATTGCAAGTTGAGTGATTGCATTCCAGACTTCGCAACATGTTCACTCCGCTAGCGCTCATGTTCTCTTTCTTTTACATGCGGTTTTCGATAAGGAAAATAAAAGATGCATCTTTACCTTCGCAGCGGGCAACAGTCTTTCCTTCCCAACTTGTGCGAGATAACCAAGGAATGGAGTCGCCTTCGTCGAGACGAACCGGGGAAGATCAACAGCCCGCTGCGCACTCTCCTCCTCCGAGCGATTTTGCAGGAAATGGAGACCCGCATCAAGCTTACGCTCAGCAAGGAGAAGCAGACGGCCATCGACATGAAGTGGTACAAGGACGAGGAAGGCTGGACCTACATGCAGTGGAACACGCAGAAGGGGTAGCTCGAGCTCCTAGACACTCCGAGCCCTCTCTCGACCGAGACCCTTCTCGAGCTTCTTCGGGAGCTCCGATCGCTCGCTGGTGAATCCCGACTCCGTGAAGAAGTTCGCTTCGCTCCCTGGCCTTCCTCAGGAGCCTCAATCGGAATGGATTCACTTTCAGCTGGAACTGGGGTTTCGACCACAGGGGGATCGCATGTGGGAAATCTTTCAGATGCTCCTCAACAACAGTTGCCTTCACCCTCTGCCTGCGGAAGGATCGTCCCGGACTGTCTGGTCTAGCGAGCCAGATCCAGCAGGCAGTCGGAGGTTGGTGAGGTCGCCCATACCACTGGTTGCAGACTCCTCTGGCATTCGTCGGTTCCTCAGAGCCTCACGCGACCTGTCTTCAGCCGACTCCTCTACCAATCCCGTACCATTATTCGCGACTGGGTCTGTCTGCGCTGGGGTAGGTTGGGACAATGGCCAGCGCATACAGCAAACCCTCAAACCTAGTCCACGTAGCATGCTCCCTGCTTCTTGCCTTTTGTTGCTTCAGGCCCTCGCTTGTGTCAGGTCAGATTGATACTTATTGACATCTCAATTTCGCAACGGTGTCAGCAGTTTGCAGCCAAAACGTGTCCGCCCATGCCCTATGCATGCGTAGTTGGGTAGGCACTGAGGGTTCTGCCCCTCCCTCCCATTTCCTGCCTCTGCTTCGCGCCACCCTTCAGAATGTTGATGGCACTGCCTGCTACATGAACACAGTGCTGATGGCCTTATTGTGGGTGTTGGGACGATCTGACCCTACTCGAACAGGTCCTTTGCACATTCTGTACCAGGTCTGACCTACGATTGATGCGCAACATGTGCTGGACCATGCTGCTGGGGAACTGGGCAAGGCCCAACCAACATCACGACATGCATGAGTTTCTGCTTCATCTGTTGCCACGTCTCAGGCTGGAAGCTTTTAGCGGTCAGTGGCAGACCAGGCGACTGGAGGACGCAGGCCTCGTCGTCTGTGCATCCTCGGATGCACTCCTTTCTGTTACCATCGACCTGCCCTCAGAGGCGAGGGGACTTCAGCATTGCGTTCAGGTGTGCAAATTCGTGGGCGCCCTGCCGAAAATCATATGCCTCCATCTGTCGCGCTACAGGCGTGATGCGAGGGGTATTCTCAGCAAGGATGTTCAGGCCCTTCCGGATTGGACTGAAGTGCTTCGCATTCCACAATTAGCCACCGCGCATGACCTTCAGACTCATTGGCGACCTTACCAGGTGTGCGCCATGGCTCTTCACTACGGACCTACCTTGCATAGGGGGCATTACCGATGCTTGACGCAATGGGGTCAAAACACCGTGCAAGTCTGGCGGCATGATGACAATCAAGCTGCCGATTCCATCTCACTCTCGGAATCTGTGGAGCTCAGTCGCAAAGCCTATATGATCTGGGCAGACTGAGGCCCGGCTCCGCTTGCCACTTGTGAGTATCTGGCAGCTGACTGACGATATAGCTGTACATCGGACACGTACTGTCATTCGTGGCTGCGTGTTTCTGTAGAGGGGGCACCAAATGGTGCGCATCCACAGAGGTGCCGAAGCCTGAACTGGCTTTGCCTTGGCTAGCTAGGCGACGATTCGTTCGCTGCGTCCTGAAGAAGAAGAGACCAGAGAAAGGCGAAAGCGCCGATCGTCGCCTCAGGTCTCGAGTGGCGAACTTGTTTCTTTCAAACACTTTGAGTGCAGAGTAAACTTCCGATTTGGCTCGCGATGCTCGCGACTCTGGGGTGTCCTCCTTAAGGAGATTGGCCGAGGCCGGTGAAAGGAGGCAAGATGGCCTCGCTCGACCGAGGGATATTAGGAGGCACCTATCCAAAAACAGTCACTGGCCTCCTCCATACAAGTTTCAAGCTCCGGTTTGGGACAAAGAGAATCAACGACAACAAGCAGCTACTTTGACATGCATGCTGCCCCACGAGGTTTTGTATGTCATGAACGAGAAATCCCGTGAGGGTGGTGGCTTAACAGATCTAGCCCATCTCCAGGAGTCTGAGCTTCAAAGGCATGCTCGGGCTGCAGCTGACATGGGGATCGATCGTGAAAGCCTCACCGGGCTCGGGATTTGGGGCAATGGTGTTCCCATGACCCGAAACAGAAACCAGAGCTTGGAGATGCTCAGCTTCAACATCCTCACATGTCAGCTTCGCAGCACAATGCGAATTCCAGTTTTCGTCATTCAGAAACATTGGCTAGCCCATGGGGGATCTACATGGGATGCTGTCATGGATGTGCTTCGGTGGTCTTTGACACGTGCAACTTCTGGTCAAATGCCAAAGTACGATCACACAGGTCTGCAGCCGCTGAAGGAACCATGGAGAAAACAAAGGGCATTGATCCATACGCCTCGAAGTGTTTTGCTGGAAATACGAGGCGACTGGGCTTTTTTCAAGCAGGTGCTGTATATGCAGGCATTGTGTCTTGGCTGCATTTAGTATGCTTTGACTTTGTGCCTGCGTACATTTACTTATTTAGTATTCCCTTTTGTGTAGCCCGGAAGGAACGAAGCCTGTGGTTGTTGTTGGATGTGCGACATTAAGCCTGAAGATATTCGAGAGGTTTCATGTGAAGCTGCTTGGATGCAGCCAGAGCACAGGAAGACTCCGTGGCAGGCACTCATGGCTGCCCTTGCACAAGCCCCATTTTCGCAGCACCGTATGTTGGAACTGAGTGCGTCCAAATGGATTGGTTGCATGTGGTGGACATAGGAATTGCTTTGCAGTTCCTGGGATCCATAATGAAATACTTCTGCTCGAAGTTTCAAGGGACGTTTGACGAGCAGGTTCGAGAATTTTTTCGCTGCATTTTGGAGTTCTATGATGTCCAGGCCGTGGAATACAGGTTGGACCATCTAAAGCCTTCAATGATCAAGGGTCTTAAGAAGAAGTTCCCCAAGCTTAGAGCAAAAGCTGGGGAATCGCGATGCCTGGTGCCTTGGGCTGCACAGGTGGCTGATGCCCTTAGGGATGCTGGCAACGAGGTGGAACAGACCATGTACAAGTGTGCCTGGCATTTCAACAAATGCTATGAGCAACTGAGTAGCAAAACGTTCGATGCTACTGTTTTGGCCGAGCATGGAGTTGCATTCGCAAATCTCTATGTCGCTCTGCATGAGCATTTCACGGTGCCAGGAGTCTGCCTCTTCAAAGTGACTCCTAAACTGCATCTCTTTTGCGAAATCAGCTATCGAGGCCGGGATTGCTCCAGTGTGCACTGGTCATACCGAGATGAGGATTGGGGCGGGAAGATGGCTGTTCTTGCAGCCAGCAAAGGAGGAGCCAACACCCCGAATGCCTTGGCCAATGCTTTCTTTTCTCGTTTCACCTCGGGGCATAAAGTTCCTGTGCTTTGAAGCATGCCTATCGCCCCTGCAGAAAAAAGAATGAGAGATCGAAAGCTTCATGCATGCATGCACATGCATGCAGGCATGGCCTGTGCAAGCCTGCAGCTTGAATGTCGAAACTCTGCATGCATGTTGGCTCGAATATAGTTATATATTCGCGGAAGGCCGCCGTGCATGGCGGCTGATCGTGCTCGAGCACATGATGTCCAGATTTCAATAGCGAGCTTGCATGCCAGAGGTGAGCATGCATCGTGTCTGATCGACAGTTCACGCACGATGCATGGCATGCATGCACTGCGACGCATGATGCGAAGTCGAAGAACAAAGTTGGTTTTGCAGCTGCTGCTTTTTAAGCTTTTTATAGGCATGCATGATTTCGATATCATATATGCGCAACACACATATATATATGTATATATATATATATATATATATATATATTAATTGTTCTTTTTTCCATGCATGCATGCACGATCCCTACATGATATAATGCTGGCATGATCATGCATGAGGAGGGACTATTCCTCCTGGGCGAGACAGGTGTCTTTTCAAAGGATGGGCTGTGTGCCCTCCTTGAAATCTACGGTGCTGCAAATGCAAGGCTTCAATATATGTACATGCATGCATGTAATAATATCATGATGATATATATACATGGCATGCATGGTTTTGATTTTATAATACCACGACATGCATGCTCCCTTAACAGAATGCCGCGTGTGGAGTTTCTATGCAATCTTAAGCCGATATCGATGAGTCATGCATTTGCATATATATCATATTAGGATGCATGACTGCATGCGTGTGCATGGATCGATATCTGTATGGCATACTACATGTACATTGATATAGTCCTACCACACCGAACACATGCTCCCTAAACAGAATGCCGCATGTGAATTTTTCATACTTAACGAAGGGCATAAAATATTCAAGTCCTCCCTACACCTGTTGGCGTAAACAAGATGCCCGCAGTTCATGAACTTAACATGCAACTTGCCATGCCGCGCCTCATGTCGAATCTTCCTTAATTAAGGATGAAAGTTGTCTTCTTTAATTAAGGCGTATTGTGGTTAATTAAGGATTACTACCTTAATTAAGAATGGTTTTCTTCTTTAATTAAGGATTATAGTCCTTAATTAAGCATTTTAGTCTTTAATTAAGGGTGCTTTTAAGCGCTCGTTAAGTTAATTAAAGGCTAAACTCTTAATTAAGGTCCATTGGGTTCTCTGGGAACAGAGCTGGGTTCCATTCCCGGGATAAGTCTGGAAAGAGCGCCAAACTGTGCACACGCCGTGGGCCTTGGAACGGTTTTCCTCTGCGTAGTTACTGGTAGTTTGCAGGGACCTTTCAGGTCCGCTCGAGGTTTCACCAAAACTCCGGAAGTACAGGAGTCTCCCTGGTAGGAGGGGGGTGGACGAGTCGTTTCGCCTTACCTACGACCAGTGGTCGTCTTTATGAAAGAAGATGCCAGCGGCATCGTTATGTACAGTGCCCGAAGATCGGGCCTGAAGCAAAAAAGGAGTGCTTTTGCATAAGAATTACTGCAGCGCAGTTGAGGGTTCCCGAAACGTGCGCTTACGAGAGTTTCGTTGGGAAATAAGGATCCCTCTTTGTCGATGCGGTTTACTGGCAGCTTTCCGCGATCTACAGGGTTGCCAAGAATCCCCAAACCACCCAGCTCCAGGCCTCCAATGACGGCCTGTACATCTCTTTGAGTATATCTTGCCTCTTCTTAACCTCTATAAGGAAGAGGTTCGCTACATTTAAGTCCCGAGGGCATGTGAACAAAGTGAATATCATGGAGGCCTTGACGTTGATCCTGGCCGAAAGCGGCTCCCTCTGGCTAGTCTGGCGATGTGCCTGGGCTATCTGCCCCCAACAACATAAGAACACACGTCTGCCTTGGGTCGTCCAGGTTTCGGTGTACTGACTATCCTTTCTATTTCTGCTGTTCTTTTTCCACTTGTTCCGTTTCTCTCTTGGACCGCTGACACAGCGGCACGAATGATAGCAAGTACCTCCTTCTGTTTTCTGTTCCTCTTTTTCTTTGATATTATCCCTTTTTCTCCAGCCCTTTACCGGCTAGGGTTTCCCTACCCAAAGCCGGGACCCCCCTCTTTACGACACTGGACCCAAGAAGGGGTCCACCAGATTGACAGTATAGTGCTGCATTATTTCAGCACGAAGTGCAGAGAATGACAGTACGGCGGCTGGTCCGCCTCAGATTGACAATACTTTGGCCGACCGGGCCTGGAATGACATTATGGCGGCAAGCCCGCACCAGAATGAGAATACAGGCCCGCCGGGGACCAACACAAACCCCAGTGGGCCGAGCCGCTCTCAAGAAGAGCCTGAGCGATGCTCCAAACAACTAGGGCTGAACAGCCCGCTTCCTCATTTCCTAGTAGGGTGCAGTTTTGCTGGAAGCGCTCCGGGCGCACAGCTTTGCCCAGCCCTTTACGCAACGGACTTTTGTCCGCCCTTTGCCTTGGCCGGCCCCTTTCAGAAATTGAGGGGCTTTTCTTTCAGGGATGCTAAGCCAAGCCTTTTCGAGCTAGAGCGCTGTAAGGTTCCCTTTGTTGGGATCCCTTTTGCACCTCGTCCTGCCGAGACCCAACAACCACGGCCCACCAGCGGCCACAGTAACATACTGCTTTCGAGGAAAAAGAGGAACGGAGCCAAGCGTTGCATGAATGGGAACATCAGCTGCCTTCATTGCAATTGTGACCTCTACAATAAAACCTTCACAAACACCCCTTCTAAATTCCGTTCCCCAGCAGTCCAGCTCAAACGGCATGCTTGTACACCATTCCCTCTGGTGTTAGGATCACCTTTCAGTTTGGTTTTTTAGAAGAGGGATAAGGCATTATCAGGTCTTTTATGGAAACAAAGCACACAACCTAAGGAAGCACATACACACCGCGAGAGCCGCCCACGACTCCAAACCCCAGCTTCTCTCCAATTTGTTCGCCTTGCACTGGCTTGACAACAGATGAACTCTGTCGAGCGCGCACGATATACCTTTATGAAACGTCGGACAGCCTTCCATGGGAAGGCGGTTTCAAAAAAAAAAAGAGAGTGCATGTTCTCTATCCGATTCTTGATGGATCGTTTTCCATGTTTGCCACTCAAGTTTTCATGTCCTTTTCTTTACCATGAATTTCGGTGGGAATTGTTTCATGGCCTCATGCCGCTGCCAGTTTCCTCAATCAGTGTGAGTGAGGAAAACAAATTTTGTTGGGCCTGTGAGGCTCAGGACCCTGCATTGAACCAGGGTCCCCCCTTTCGACGTTGGGATTAGGCCACCGTGCAAGCCGCTGTCGCCGACAGCGGCGGATGGCAGCAAAGCTGAAAAGATGTGTGAAGGTGACGAATCTGCCCAGTTCGACAGCCGGGCAGTGGCCTTTCATGCGGCTCATACTTGGAATGCTTATAAGAGATCGGTAGGCATCTTCCCGAGCCCTCCAGAACAGATGCATGCGATCTTCAGGAGAAGCTGCCTCTTGCCCAGGCCGACAGGGCTCTTGCCTCCAGCGCCGGGGCCAGGGCCGATGGCCGCCTCTTCCAGCTCCGGCCCGGATCTTGGGGCCTCGCAGTCAGCCTTCCTTGCAGCAGGGCTGAAACCTTTGTCAGCCCGAGATGCTCACTTAAGGTCTAAGGCCTTGGATGCTAATAGGAAGTGTGCCTTGAAGAAGTGGGTTACGCTTGTTTCCTTGGATTTTAATGCCTGGGTGTAGCCAAGCAAGCCATGGGGCCTTTCGATCCTAAATTTGCCACAGGAGGCTTGGTGGAAAGTGTGCAGGATTGTCTTGCCGACAAAGCCACAGCTACCTTGCACCAACGCGTGGGACCCATATTCAGATACGTGCACTTCTGGAAGCTTCAGTTCGTAGTGTGCCTACCTGTGAGAGAGCACCATCTCTACGATTACTTCAAGGCAAACCCGAATGCGGCCCCGACTTCCTTCAGGTCGCTGCTTATCGCTTTCAGCTTCGCCAAACATTTGCTAGGCTTGATCGTGCTTGACGAGGCCCTGAGGAGCGGGAGAGTCGTCGGCCTTGCAAATGCTCATTACTCGACGAGGTGTGCAGTTAAGCGCAGGCCTGCTCTAACCGTGGAGCAAGTCAAGCGACTTGAAGCTCTCGTGCTCAGCCTCCTGGCGCGGCCAATGGACCGAATCGCAGCTGGGTGTTTTCTGCTTATGATATACGGTCGCCTACGGTTTTCGGACATGCAACGCTCTTCAGGTTTCGTGATTGATTCAGCTTTGATTGATGGCGTGGAATCAGGGTACCTTGACCAAGCCGAGAGGACCAAGACATCGGTGTCGCTTGAAAGGAAGATCCGATCTCTTCCCATCGCTGTACCGTTGAAATGTGTAGGAGCAAAGCCTTGGATCAGAGCATGGCTTGAGCTTCGAGAAGCCGAGGGTCTCGATGGCTCGTATCCTACACTTCCGTGCCCCGCAACCGGAGGCGGGTGGACGAGACTTCCTCTTAAGGTCTCAAGCGGCGGTGCCTGGCTGAGAAGTTTGATTCCTGGCGCGAGTGAAGCATCTGGCGAGGTCCAGATCGCGACCCACTCCTGTAAGAGTACACCGCTCTCCTGAATGGCGAAGCGAGGCGTGCCGGCCGGCCCTCGTCGCACTCTAGGTTACCACGTACCGCGTAAGGACAAGTCGCTGATCATCTATGCCAGGGATTCACTAGCGGCTCCATTGCGCGAGCTGGACCGGGTTATCGACGAGATAGCTGCCGGTAGGTTCAAGCCGTATCTCACTCGAAGTGGGATGATAGCCAATCTTGCAGATCCACAGGTTCCGCCTGAGCATGAGGAGGAGGCCGAATCTATATCATCGAGCTCTAGGGAGGCGTCCGATGATGAGGAAGAGGCTCCCGTGAGTGACAAGGAGCAGGCCTTGGAGCAGATTGCCGGTCAGTGGGGCCCCGAGCCCGGCGACGGGCCTTGGGCTCGTCACAAACAGACTAGGTTTTTGCACAGGGTGA